CGCCCAGGCCAGGTGCCCACAGTACTCACCACAGGACTTGTTGCAGACTGCCCGGGAAGGCGAGATAGTAGAGAGACTGAGGAGCTGGGGAGGCAGACAGAGCTGGGAGGGAGTGGGGGTATGAGCAAGGAGAAGGTGTGGAAGGGCTGGGCAAGAGGAGTGAGCAGGCAGGGGCCCCTGGGGAGGGGTCAAGTGCAGCTCAAGCAGGGCTCGAGGGAGGAAGGGGGCTGCAGACTTGACTCTGGACTCCTTGGGGCTTCAGGGAGGGTGAAGGTCAGGCGTGGATGGGGGCCAGCCCCACCTCTCACCCTTCTCCTTCAGTGCCTCTGATATCTTGTTCAGTCTCTCAGAAAAGATCTTCCTGAAGGTGTCAATCTCATCCAAAAGTACTAGTTTATCTGGGAGAGGTAAGAGTGACAGGGACCTATTATCCACACTTCATAGGTGAAATCAGTTCTGTAGCTTGTTAACGGTAGGACTTCACACCTGATTTTTCAGGCAGAGACTCCATAGGGCACACAGACAGTGCTGCATCCACCCCACCTTCACAACCCTCACATCCCATGGCTAGGTGGTTCCTCAGGGAACACCTGGAAGGACAGACTGTGCCAACCAAACCCCAGGGCCCTGGGGCACGTGGCTTCCTCACCATCTCGTGATTTCTTAATGGCTAGGTCTATGTTATTGAAGAATTTGGCTGCTTCTTCTTCCAGGTGGTCACGATCTGAGGATGTGACATGGGAACAAAGGGCAGTCAGGGAAGGAGACACCAACCTGAGTGGAGGGGGCAGCCCTCATCCTGGTCTCCTGGCTGGGCCTCACCAAGGTACCAGGGGTTGCTGATGCCATGCTCCTCCATGAAGACCGTGTGAAGGCTCTGTGAGAGCTCTGCAGGTGGCCCTGGTGTGCCCCAGAGAACCTGCAAGTCGTAGTCCACCAGTGCGGGCAGCTCGGGCCAGCAGCGGAAGCAACTCCCTCCGTCAGCGGCGGGCAGCAGACAGCTGAGCAGGAAGAAGAGCATCTTCTGGGTGCTTCCCTCTGTGCCCTCACCACCCTGCCTGCAGTTCCACACGGAACTCTGGTGCCTGTTCCCTCGGGAACTGCATTCTGTTTCCAGAACAAAAGTACATTCTGGAGGGAAAAGTGAGTGCCAGCCACAGTGTTCCTGGCACCACACCCAGGTCTGAGTCTCAATGTCCTCCTTGAGATATGGAGTCACTGCTGTCCTCCAAGGGATTACCGTGAGGCTCGGTGAGCACAGCTGGTCGGTGCTCAGCATCAGGACCAAGTCTGTCATGAATGGACCAGCTTGGCCAGACTGACGACTGTGAGGTCAGGAGAGCATGGCACAGTAAGACTGTCAGTGTGTGAAGAGAGCTGAGTCTGTTCACGTGTTTCCACGTAGAGGTGGCCAGCCGCAGGAAAAGATTATGGAAACTCATTTTTCATTGAGTATATATAATGG